AACACTAACAGAAATTTTGTGCGTTCAAGGTGTTTTAAACCATATCGTTTGAGCGTGCAGGTTGTTATAAACGAAGAGGTTCAGTAAAACAATCACTAGTACCAATGGGTTATTGTAATAATGAATCTTTCTATCAAACCAATCGTGTTCTCTTCATAAAAGTGAATGAATTCACCCCAAAAGGTTACTGTTCAATTCTACTTAAAAATTCCAGGTTTTGATATCAGCATCTTCAGAAGATTTTAAGCTGCATAAAAGAATATAAGTCACTTAAACTGATCTTCTTGCATTGTTGATAATTTGAAACGGACATATTTGCGGTTTCGCTAGACCTGCATGTTTCACCCAATCATTGAAACTGACTTTTTTCCTGTTGAGATATCGGTAGCAGATGTTGAACAAGAAGGACTGATTTGCGACAACATCTCAGTTGTTGCTTCAAAATAAGAATCTCTTGAGTTCTTCAGAATGATAAAGCCGTTTATTACTAAACATGTAGCAAAGAATACTTCTGAATATTAAAAATAGTTAGTTGTACTTCTCAAATTTACTGGTTTAAAACTTGGTGGCCAATTTAATTCAGTCAGTCAGTCAACAACAACATAGAACTTTGCACGTAAGTACAGCAGTTCAAGTAGGCACAGAGATGCATTTGCCACTTCAAATACCCTAATAGTTGACGTAGTTGAAGTATTAGCAGGAATGATCGGAGTGATCAGGGTTAAAAGGCACTACTCCAAAAGTAGAATCTAGTGAAATAAACTTATAAAGAAATAGATAAAGGTGATGAGGAATTCAGAAGATTAGGATTTGAGAGAACATAAAGAATGAATTCACCCGCGTCATTGCAAACGGTTTTGAGCCATGTCATTTAGGATATCTAACCATCGATTATTATCATCTCGCGGGCCTCAACCAAGTAGTCGACACCTACCAACATGACTCAGTCTGTAGTGAAGGAGAACACAGGTGAGGGCAACTAAATTGTATTTATCGCAAATTTTACAGAGTTAATTGGTATAATAGGAAAACCATATCATAAAACGTTAATTTGCAAAACATCAATCCATTGTCTGACATTTCACTGTTCATGTGTTTCATACAAATTCCATTGTGTTCGCACTCTTCCTTTCTTGATCTTCCTCCATCTTCTGCTGCCAGACATTACGTTTACACTCGCGTCATATACTACTTATAAGTAGCGAGCACCACAAGTCAGGGATAGTACAGTTTTGCCTTAGGACAATTAAATTAACATGTTGATCAGGTACTTACGTATGAACAACTCTTTAATTGTAAGAGTTACTTATGCTACCCATCTACCCAAATCCAATGTCGGTGTATTGGCGTTTGATCTTGATACAAACGATTAATAGTTGAACACATTATTGCATTCCAATCAATCTGTTTAGTATCACAAAACCTGAAACATTAAGTGTCCCAGTGAGTAAATCTCAATCCTGTGGCCTGATCGAGTTATTACCATGGGAGAATAAGTAAATACAAAAGACTATCTTACAACTTTCATTGTTACATATCGATAACTTGGACCAGTAAGGGTTAAGATAATTTTTTTATGGGTTTCAGTGATATGTGAATTTATAATAAATGGTTACAAGTCTATCTCACTGGACTAGGAACACTTTAATTATTTCTGACTTTCTTATTAGTATGCGAGACAATTCATTTATATTGGAAATCAATATTCTTTGTTATTATGAACCGATATATAGTAATTTTCCAAAAACATGTCTCATTTAGTAGAATAAGCACAATTTTCTATACACAGATAATTAATTCAGAATTTCATAGAACACAACAAAGAGTGGATGTACATGCGTAATTGCAAACGATTTTAGGCCATGTCGTTCAAGGTGTAAAACTATCGTTTACTATAGTCTGGCCATGTGTCGCATCCATATAGTAGGGCGGAGGGAACTGTTGCATAGTACACTCATTCTTTGGTTAGCAGACAGATATCTCGCCTATGCACCATGAAAGACGCAAATTTACAAAAGCTAGTCGAGCCTTCTGTGTCCGTGCTGAGGTTTCGTCTGATACCAGGCCATCAGCAGCGATGACACTCGCCAGATAAGTGAAGTGATCGATACACTCAACTATTTCATACCGTCACTAGTGTGGGTGCAGATGCAAACCAATCGTGAAGCAACATTTTGCATTACGACGGCGGGGAACCGCATCCCGAATATGCTTGCACTGTTGCTTAGGGTAGTCAGAAGATTCTGCATTTTGTCAATGTCTTCACCGAATAGAACTGTCATCAGCATATTCTAAGTCAGCAGGCATGTCTCCTGGTAGGTCTAAAAATGAGGAGAATCCGCATTCCTTTTTGAAATATTCTCATATGGTAATGAGTTTATAGTCAGTATAATGTTGTGAAAATTGTTAAGTTTGATTGAAACCATGAACAGATCAATTTTCCTCCGGAGGTTATGGAATTGCATGCGAAACCGGAAGTTCTGGTATTAATTCCTAGCCATGGAGTTGTATATGCACACAGGTAATAAGTTCTATATTGGTACGAAATGACTGTCGAGTGCTTCCAAGTTACCAATGATGCTCCAGCATGATTTGATTGGGTTTATAGTCTATAACAGCAATGTCTTCATGTGGTAGCGTTTTTACGAAGCAGAATAATAACTGGATTGGCGAATACAGACAGTTGAATATTAGTTCAGTCGGAAGAGAAATACATGACACATTTTTAGGCCTGTCAGGCTTCAGCATTCATTTTGCTTGAATGATTTTATCGTCTAAATTATTCGATCACAATATCGATTATTTTATATTTGATTGTGTTTGTGTGTGCATGCTTGATCGGTTACCACATGTGTAGCTTATTATTGCTTGACTATAAATATACTTAGTCATTCTTCAACACACGGAGAGTTGGTGTGTGCTACTTATAAGTAGTATATGACGTGAGCGTCAACGTAATGTCTGGCAGCAGAAGATGGGGGAAGATCAAGAAAGGAAGAGTTAGAACACAGTGGAATTTGTATGAAACGCATGAATAAGGGAAATGTCAGACAATGGATTGAAGATTTGCAAATTAACGGTTTACGATATGGTTTTTCCAATTTTACTGATTAACTCTGTAATTTTTGTTAAATACAATTCGGTCGCCCTCACCTGTGTTCTCCTTCACTACAGGTGCACTCACCTTCTACAATTAACTTCGCTTTACTTGTACGCTTTCTATTCTTATGTCTGTTTGCATAAATGAACACGCATGAAATAGAATCATCTGTGAAACCGTATTTGGCTTACTATCGCCGTCGCATGAACTTGGTTTGCCTCTAATTATCATATACGAAAATGGAAAAGCAGATTTATTTCATTGTGTACACTCGAACATTTGTCCACATTGGAGTCCAGTCGTGAGCCATTAAAATGCAATATATCAGTCTGTCTAGACAAATAAATAACCAATCGCACATTCCACTCCGTCATTCAACTCTGATATGCGGTGCAGTGAGCTAAAGAAATGCCTCGAGAGTTAGTCGTAGATATAAGAGAGGTATTAGGGGGTGTAGGAAAGATTTGATTTCGACCAATTCGGTCTCGTATGCTGTTATGGGTATGAGGACGGTTGTCACTTCCCCGCTCCCCATACCGTGGAAGGTTGTTTCTTGAGAGACCTGAAAAGGAAGATAAATTAGTGTTGGACTTAGAGACCTGGGAGCGTGACCGCAGAACCCAAGGGACAACTGCTTGAAGCCTGTCACGCACGGCCTTTTGATGAAAGGTATTTAGAGGTTAAGCTCTGTTCTTAAAGGCCCTTAGTGGGCATCCTTACCCAAGGAGATGGAAATCCGTGAGGTAGGGGAGGTGTGACATTTTTAGGGCCGACCTTTTCTAACCCTTCCTTCCTTGTGAGAAGACAGCATCTATACAGATGCTTCTTGTTGTCCGAGGGAAACACCTTACTGCTGTCACACCCCTCTATCACAGTCAGCAGTACGACATCGCCCTCAGAGCTTCAGTAGCTGCTTTTATTCTCATCGTTCTCCAATCGACCTGCCTGGCATGGTGGAACCCTCAGGAACATATGTTTCAGCCAATATAGCTCGGTTGGGTCATGACGATAGGCAAGCCCGACCACCACGTCAAGGTATCAGCTACGGTCGGGACTCTGAGATGCAAGTACATATCTATCATTCAGCCAATGAGACAAGCGCCAAATAAAACCATATGTGCAACCTTAAATTTCATTACTCTTTACTGTTCATCTTTGTTTATAATACATTCGTCGTGGCACCAAATTATTATTTTAGAGAATCACAGAGTAATCATCAGAATACCCATTCTAACCTTAACATTCTCAATTAAACTATTTTCAGGCGCATAAATATTCTATTTTATTTACTTATGAATAGGATAATATGTTAGCGCTATATACCAATATCGTTTTTGAGATGGCGGGGCGGAAATTTGTAGCTCTGGTGAATGATTGTGGTGGTGTTTCTTTCTCTGATCTGGAGAACTAAACGATCATTTCTACTCGTCTCAATACCACAGTACAATCCCACTACTATTGACAGCTGCTAATCAACCAGCAGTTGAAGAGTCTCCGATGAGATAAGAAAAAAAATTGAACTACCACCACTACTAACTACTAACAATCATTTCAGTAGTAGTCTCACAAAAATCAATAAAACAGAAAAAAAAGCGGGTCTTTCAATTTTTGTTAAGACGACACATATATATAAAAATAGTAAGTAGTAACAAAACTAACTGTACAGAAAATTTATTATTAATAATAATAATAATATATATATAATATATATTGGTCTATACGTTTACTTTACTGAGTATAGTTCTTGTAAAAGGTTAGTAAATAAAAATTGTGCACGTTCACACACACACACACACACAAAGACACCCAATGTGCATTGAAAATATTATCATCAAACAGACACGGAGGCGCGCGCGCTCGCACACACACACACACAGAGTTTTTGAATACAATTTATTTTTTATCTTATGAAACGTTGTAAACGATCATGTACACTACGCAATGATTCAATCCATTTTGTCTTAGATAATTGGCTTGAATTATCCCGTCTATCATTGCTGGGGATAGTAATGTCAGAATTTAAATCCACTAATAAACCAGTGATTTGATTTAATATACAATCAGCTTGTAACATACGTTGACGGAGAGATAAGTGTATTATATTAGTAGTAGTCGCATGGGTGGTGGAAGTGAGAAAATCTTCAATAATTGTTAACAATGCAATAAACAAACGTTCTTGTACTTCATCACGACACCATAATGAATCTTTTGAATGAATCAATTCATTGTATGCTTCTGTTATACTGGCAATACATGTTAAACGAGAATCACGTAGAATATTTGGTACCCATGTAGCGTTTAATGAATGTTGTATAGCATAATATTCTAAAGTCGAGATGATATCAACTAATAGACAACAGAAAGGGAGAGAGAGAGGGAGTGAGAAGAGGCATTTATTAAGTGGGAAAAACAAAGTCATTGAAAGAATAAATGAATCAGGTGCTTGACTTAGAGCTGTCCTGTGATAGCTGATGACCACCTTTGAGCTAATGTGAACCACTGCTGTACAACGTCAACCTAACGTACAAACTAATCTGGTTTAAGTCCCTGTTGGACACTCAGTTTTCGTGTTCTCAACCTGCTGAACAATACATTTGATGCGAGAAGGCAATGACTTTAAATTCCCTAACAATGGCTATACAAATGTGTTTCATATGAAAGTATTTTGACAGGAAGATGGGATGCTTCTCACCATCAGTCGAACCAAAGTATTAGTAAATGTCAATTGTAAAAACAGTCTGTACTAATACTGCATACTTTGATAAATTTTTAATTGTAATACACTGATTGATGTAACAGGGCAATATATATATATATATATATATATATATATATATATATATATATATATATATATATATATGCATTACGGGGTTGTGAAGATTGTGAAGTTACACATTTTTGAAACCATGAATCGATCAATGTGAGACCACCATTAGAAACCTGGAAGCACTGGACGGCCGTTTCGTCCTGGTATGGGACTCCTCAAAAGTGCGCATCCACGACTTCTGCAGCTCGCAGGATTCGAACAGGTTGAACTTCACTGGTCACTGAGGAGTCCCATACCAGGACGAAACGGCCACTCAGTGCCTCCAGGTTTCTAATGGTGGTCTAACATTGATCGATTCATGGTTTCAAAAATATATATATATATATATCCTAAGATCTGTAAACATTGGCTACGATAAGCTCCACAACTGCAATCAGATAGTTCACACTCACCTCCATGACTCACAATTCAATAGTCAATAATGTATATTTATGAATAGATGCATAATCTAAATTTGATTGCCTATACATCTGTTTCGAACTATTCGCAACAACAACAACTATTATCCAGGTTGCGACTCCTACACCACAAAACACTGCTCGTCGAGGAAGTCGGCAGTCGGGTATTCGTAATACATATGTCCAAACCATCTTAATTGATGAAGTTTTACTACTTCGTCCACTGACCTGCCATCCTTACGTAGTACTCATTTTCTAACGACAGCATTGCTTACTCGGTGGTCCCAAGATATACGAGTAGTGCTTTGAAGACACTTTTGATCGAATACAAGTAACTCACGAATATCCTCAACTCTTACTGGCCATGTTTCACACCTGTATAGTAGGATGAAGCGAAGTGCTGTGCAGTAGATTCGTCCTTTGGTTAGCAAACGGCTTACTCGCCTACGCCGTAAGTGAAGCAATCCGGTAAAAGCCAATCGAGCCTTCGATATCCGTGCTGAGTATTCGTCAGTCACCAGGCCATCAGAGACTCCCTAAGATAAGCGAAGCGGTCGACACGCACAACTACTTCACTCCCAATCACTAGTTCAGGTGACGACGTAAGCCATTCCTAACGCATTATTTTGTATTTCGAGGTCGAAAATCGCATCCTGAACATGTTAGCATAGTCGGTTAGAATAGTTTGAAGACTCTGCATTTTGCAGATTAGAAACCTGAAAGCACTGGACGGCCATCTCATCCTCGTATGGGACTCATCTGTGGTGTATATACACGACTTCTCTTACTTGCAGGATTCAGATTAAGGACATACAGTACTGTGGGCTGATGTCTAACCTTTAGACCTCTGATGAGTTCCATACCAACATGAAACGTCTGTCTTGCAGTGCTTCCAAGTGTCTAATGGTGATAGTCTAACAATGATTGATTCATGATTTCAATGTGTAAAAAAACACTAATCTCCATAACACTGATTGAAAAACAAAGCCTTTGCTTTTTTGGTCAGCCACTGCAGGAGACCAGAAATGACGTTTTGTGAACTCGCTTTGTTTGCATTAGCTGTGCAGTGTGAGAAGAGTTAGCTATACAGATAAGAGAGGTATTGGGGGGTGTAGGAAGGATATGATTTTGACCAATTCGGTCTCGCGTGCTGTCACGGGTATGAAGGCGGTTGTCACTTCCCAGCTGCCCACACCGTGGAAGGTTGTTTCTTGAGGAACCTGAAAAAGAAGGCAGATTAGGGTTGGTCTTAACGACCTGCGAGCGTGACCGCAGAGTCCAAGGGACAACTGCTTGAGGCCGGTCACGCACGGCCTCCGCCCTTTCGAAAGCCCGTAGCGGGCAGTCCTTACCGACGGAGACGGAAATCCGTGAAGTCGGGTGAGGTGTGACATTTTTACGGTCGACCTTTTCCAACCCCTTCCTTCCTTTATTGTGAGAAGACAGCATCGCTGCAGATGCTGCTTATTGTCCGACAGAAACACCCTACTTCTGTCACACCCCTCCATCACAGTCAGCAGTACGACTTCGCCCTCACACCTACAGTAGCTACTTTTAATCTCATCGTTCTCCAATCAACCTGTCTGGCATGGTAGAACCTTCAACATGAACTTATGTACATACATACGTACAAAGTTCTACGTTGCAACTGACTGACTGGTCAACCATTTCATCAAACAATAAACAAATACAACTAACTAACTAATCAGAATCAACTTACTTAATGGGAAATAAATAGAACAATGTAATGTGATTGTGGCTGTTGAATCATTTAAAAATCGTTGACTTAAACGTGATAAACAATCGTGTAATTTTAGCTCAATCAATTGTATCGTAGATGATGATGGCGATGTTGGTGATGATGCAGGCGAGGATGATGGAGAATGAGTTGTTGTTGAATTGATGTTACCTCTTGACTTATGATTATGATTACCAATAGTATATGGAGTAAACATTGTTGTCGGTGAACGTTTTGATGGACTTTGTGTAGTTGTCACATGTAATAATGATTGAGTTGTAAGTAGTTTACGTAAAAGATCATGCCAAATTGCTTTAATCAATGCAGAATCCTTGTGAAAAAAACATACAGAAAAATAAAAGAGGACGATTAAAGAACACGTTACATCAAGAATTGGATACAAACTGATATGCTCGTCAATTGATAGACATGCTTGAATGCTATTACGAGTTCATCTTACTCGATAAACGAAGAGAAGGCAAATGATCCAGTAACACAATACGGCTACTCTAATCCGAGTGTCCCTAGGCCCCACTAAGTAGAGGAAGAAGTATTGACAAGACGTAAAAAGTGTATCTTACAAGCAAACAGAAAATATAATGATCTCAAGCAAATGAATCGTGTTAATTTATACATCATAGAAATGTCCTTGGCAGAGCCATAAAAATATAGCGTACTAAAATAATACATCAACCAATAATAACAGTCAAGGATTTTACCGGTGAAAAAAATGTAATCTCAAGGTCAACTGATCAGCCCATGAATAAAATCCAAAATTAAGGCCTTTATCAAGTGAGTTCTGGGGATCCAACGTCTCCGATAGAAAGCAATACTTGTGTGTTAGGAAACATGCACGTAGATAAGTCAATTTTCATCAGTTGAGTTGCTTGGAGCATATATTATCAATGCCCAACTATCGACTGACTCAATGAACTACGTTTTGTGATGTAAAAGTCGCAGGCTGAAAGAAAGGTATGGGCGGGCAAACGAAAACATGGCAGTAATTCAAGAAACTACTGACAGATAGACTAAGCACATGTTGGCAAGTGTAGACTATCTGGTTTGGGTTAAAGATTCAAAATGACACGGATCAAAATCGCTTGCACTGTCACAGATACTTTCACTTCATATGTTCTCTCAAATTTTAACCTTCAGAATAATTCCTCATCACCTTGTCTTCCTCTTTTTTAATTTTATTTCACTGGTTCATACGTGTTGAATAATTTCTTCGAACCCAAATCGTCCCGATTACTGCTTGACTGCTACTAAATCTACTTTCGTAATAGACGCCAAACTTTCTAACGCCCTGATATGGCTGGGAGTGCGGTACGTTCATGCTTTCATTTGGCCATGTGTGTATAACCATTGTCAGGAACTTTGTACTCACTTCTATTCTCGCTTCAAGACTATTTTTATAAGATTAGGAGGACGAAAACTGAATGTCCAAAAGGTGAACAAATCAGATTGTTGTCTACAGCGAGTTGACCATATATGAGAGTTGTAAAGCTCTCAATCTAAATCAATGTTGTACATACGCTCCGGAATTCTGACAGAACAAATAGCGTACGGAATTTATTGTCAATGATGATTTATCATACAACTTTTCATTTCTTAACGTCAACTTCACTACAACCTTGTGGGTTAGACCTTTCAGTCAGTCATTTACAACGTAGAACTTCGTACGTAAGTACATCAGTTCATGTTGCCATACCACATCAGCACATAGACGCAGCTGTCAATTCAAATCCTATACTGGTAGAGATAGTAGAAGTACTACTGGTAATGGATAAGATTAGAGTTCTAAGATATTATTGAAGAAGATTAGAATCTGAGATAACACAATGAATGAATGTACCTGCGCCACTGCAAACGATTTTGAGCCATGTCATTCAACGTCTCTAACCATCGGTTACTATCGTCCCGCGTACCCCAACCAGGTAGTCGACAACTACTGACATGAATCAGTCCACTTGTCAGTGACTGCATGGATTTCTGCAATGTTTTTGTTTGGCCACGCCTAACTTTCTTCCAACCTACTCCTACACTACAATACAAAGCTCGTCAAGGCAGTCGGCGGTTAGGCATACGCAACACATGTTCCAACCACCTCAACTGATGACGTTTCACTACTTCATCTACTGATTTGCTATCCCTACCTAGGATTGGACCTCTCTCTATGTCATTAGTTTGAGTAGTGTGACCCTCTTAATAAATCATCTGCTTTAGTTTGTGCACTCAGCAGTGTATTACAGCTCACACACTCTCATACACAAATTAATTGATTTGTCACAATATTTCAGTAAAACAATATGAAAGAAAGGATAAATGCACTTCCTAGAGTAGTAGTAGTACATATAATGATCAGAATAAGACTGTCACCCAGCAGGAGTTGTAAACTGTTCAACTACACGCACACACACACCAACAATACAACGCTTACAGATTATTATGTATATATGTAAAGCATTATAAATAAATTCACTATTTACCCAATAATAACCAATACTACTACTAACTATAATAATAGTAATAAAGTACTATATACTAAATTTTTTCACACACAAAAAAAACAAAATATTTACCTGTGAACCACTAGCCCATAACAAGCATAATTTTGATTCATGCAGTCCAAATCGATTAGCATAATCAGAAAACATTTCTGTGACACTTAATAATGGTCCATGTGTCAATTGGCCTAATGCTTCATCAATCAAAACATCATCATCATCATCAGTAGTAGTAGTAGTAGTATGATGACCACCAATGGGACGTGGTGTTATCATCATCATCATCGGCGGCGGCGGTGAGGATGATACTGATGATGTTTGTTTGCCTTGATGTTGTTTCCGTTGAGCATTGAATAATTGTTTTCTTAACTGCCGCAATTCATTGATTAACATTTGTTGTAATTGTGCCAACTCTAAACGAGCTTCAAGATCTTTTAAATAATCTAAATCTTGTTGAGAAGCTAAATGATAATAACAATAATTATTATAAGTAGTATTGATTAATGAATATAAGTAGTATTAATATATAAGTAGATTTGAATATATATATACACATATATGAAATGGTTAACAGTATATTCAAACAGAATATGGGGTGTGCGATTCATTCATTGATTGCTCTCTTCCGGTTACGCCTGCACGAAAAAACACGTCAACTTGATATACTTGAACTATTACGAATATACCCCTTAGTCGGGAAATGAGAGCGAGGATTCGGTGACACGACATGCTACTCAAATCCGATTATCCCAACCCCCATATTGAGTAAAAATAAGAAGACTTGAATGTGAATTAGAACCTGTATTCTACAAGCATCCAGAAAGTACGAGGTTCGAATCCAGAAGAGAACCAGGATCTTGGACTAGGGATCCGGGACCGGGTCCTGGTCACAAAACGTTACAGATAATGCCTATTTATACAGCAGCATCGAATTCTGTGACATTGACAGTTCAGATGACCAACAGAAAGCAACATTTAAAGTGACATCGATAGTCAGGACAACCAATCAGAAACAACATTGGGGCACGTGACATTGATATCTAGGACGTTCATAAAAATTGACCAGTAGGAATTAGCCAATAGGAATTGACCAATAATAATTCTCTTAGGATATTGGATGAATATCCTAACACTTTCTCTCTCTCTGTGCATGCTAACTATTGATGGTCCAAAAGTGAAAGAGGAAGTCTTTTTGACTACTGAATCATTCATCCAGTATTTTTTGACTAATCATATACAATTGGTGTTTACGGTCACATCTCAGTTGTGGTCAGTTACTCACAATGGTAGAACGTTGTACGTATATAAGTCTACATCACTTCTAATTGGCATGCCACAACATTAGCACACAGAGATGTCATTGTCAATTCAAATCACATAGTGGTAGAAGCGGCAGTTGTATTAGCAGTAATTGGAGAAGTTTAGAGTTGAAAGAAATTATTCAACAAGTATAATCCGGAGAAATAAATTTCAAAAACGAAGAGAATAAGAAACGGGTCCGGAACTCATGAGAGAAGATGAAGAATGAATGCATCTGTAGCGATTGCACATGATTCTGAGCTGTGTCATTCAAATTCTCTAACCTTTGGTTACTACTATCTCGCGGACCCCAATCAGGTAGTCGACACCTAGCAACATCACTCAGTCCACTTGCCAGCGACTTCAGGGATTTCTAACATGTTCCGGTTTGACTACGCCTAGCTATCTTCCAACCTATTTCTACACCATAAAACGTAGCTCGACGAAGCAGTCGGTGTTTGGGCATTCGTAAGACATATCCCAACCACTTCAACTGATGAAGTTTCAACACTAAATCTATCGTTATGTAGTACCTGTTTCCTAACAACAGCATTGGTTGCTCAATGGTCCCATTATAAACGAGCAATGCTTCGGAAACACCTATACAGTGAAACAGTAGAATGGAATTATGAGGTTGTGAAGATTGTTGAGTTATTGTATGAAATCATGCATCGACCAATTTTCGACCACCATTAGAAACTAGGAAACACTGGATGGTCGTTTCGTCCTGGTATGCTCATCGACGACTTACGCTACTCGCAGGATTCGAACCGAAAAAAAAACGAAGGTCCTGGGTTCAAATCCTGCAAGTAGCAGGAGTCGTAGATGAACACTGCAGATGAGTCTCAGACCAGCACAAAACGGCCGTTCACTACATTGATTGATTCATGATTTCAAACCTATCCCATGGAAATTCTAGACTTACTGAAAAAAACGCTAACCAGAAAAATTATTCGCTGGGTGACAGGCGTAAGTAAGATTTCCGAAGATTGAATTATTTGCAGAGTTGAGACCAGGAACTGATCATAACTAGGCTATTATTAAAAATCTGAAAGTACTGGATAACTTTTTCATCCTACTATTGAACTGTCAAAAGCAGTACGCATTCACAACCTTCGCAAGAGGGAATCGAACCTTAGCTCTCGCATACGAATGCTTAGAACTCTTGATCGGTTGTGTCAACATTCAATGTCAAAACTTCAAACAATGAATCAATCATTCGAGAGAGCTAGAGTTTAAGCATTCGATTACGGCTTGTGATGTCATGAATGCGCGCACTGCTGTGGAGTCTCATATAGCAGTCCATATATACATACACACAAATTCAAAACTGATCAACTAACTCTACCTGGTAAAGCTTTCACTGCAACAATAGCACGTGCAGCAAAATCTAATCTATCCTCTAAAGTCAATTGATGACATGGTGTTACAGCTAAATGTTCCAATACTTGGGCTGCTTCTAAACGTGCACCACGACGTTCCAATAGACGCCATAGAAGACAACGTAGATTAGGATCATCTGGTGTTTGACGTAGTCTCGACCGTAGATATGCTTCAAAATGTGCTGAATTCAATAACATAACTGTATCCGTGAAACCATTGGATAATAACCAATTAAAAACCTAAACAAATAAAAAATGATTGGAAAATAAAAGGTCTTTTAGTGGGGACATAGATGGAATTAAAGCATGACTGCGCTAGCTGCGCGCTGATAGGCTAATTTCCTATCCAGTCAGCACAGGCTAGAAAATTCTCGTGTTTTTAGCTGCATGCTGATTGGCTAAATCTATAATCCAGTCGATCACGTGATTTACAATCCAGAAGCTTTTCATGTAAATAATATAAAGAAACTAACGTATCTATTTTTGCCTTTGCCATCACCTTCGGCTCCTAATTTCCATTTAACCTTTGCTATTTGGAATATGATCTTTTCCTGTTCTACCGTGTTTTTGATTCTTTGGAACTTGTCCAGTGTATTGTTTGTGATCAGAGAATACTAAGCCATAGGAATTAGCTGGGAATTATATAAGCGAACCGTTACAACAAGGTCAGTAAGTAACAATAATAAGACAATGATATTTCATGAAATATGTAGTAGATAACTCTGCCTAAAGCCTCCCGCTGGAGATATTGCCGGTCGGAAGCCTTGATAAAGGAGGAGTGTTGGGTACGTGTAGGGGATAGCGATCCCATCCTATAGAAAACGAAATGGCTAACCAGGGAAAAGTAATTCAAACCATTCAAATAATGTAACAGATGATTGAAAATGGAATTTACAATGCACATTTTTGTTCAATCTGGTTGCCGCCATCAGTTAGCAATATATTTGCATTTCAATGTTCGTGTTTATATTAAGATACAAACAAAGTACTTATTATTTTAATATGCCGTTTTGAATTGATGCTAGCTTAGAATTCGTTTGCTTCTGGCTTTTTACTTTTCTAAGCTAACGTTCTCGTAAATAACGCCGAAAATAAGAAGGGTCCTCTCTCTCCTCTATTACGAAATGCTCTCATATGGCCATGAGTATAGACAGACAGATACAACGCAGAACTTCGTACCCTACCTAGAACTCATTGCTTATACGGTTGTCCCAACATACACGAGCAATGCTTCGAAGACAACGATGATGGAAGACTAGTAACCTACGAAAATCCTCTACTCTCTACGGTCATGTTTCTCAGCCATAAAGTAAGACGGAGCGAACCACTGCGCAGTACACTCGTCCTTTAGTCAGCAAACGGATATCTCGCCTATGCCATAAGTGACGCAGGTTGGCAAAAGCCAATCGAGCCTTCTGTATCCGTGCTGAGATTTCGTCAGTCACCAGGCCATCAGCACTGATGAGACTACCAAGATAAGTGAAGCGGTCTACACGTTCGACTACTTCACTCCCTATCACTAGTTCAGGTGCCGATGCAACCCAGTCTTGAAGCAACATTTTGCATTTCGAGGGGGAAAACCGCATCCCGAACATGCTTGCATTGTTGCTTAGGGTAGTCAGAAGACTCTGCATTTCGTCAGCGTCTTCACCAAGTAGGACAATGTCATCGGCATATTCTAGAACAGTAAGCGATTTTCCTGGTAGAAAGCTGACTCCTGAAAAGTCGGACGAAGATAATGCTATATCTAACAGCATATCTATGACAAAATTAAACAAGAATGGGGAAAGTGGACATCCCTGGCGGACACCACTTGAAGTAACAAATTCCGATGACAGTTCGCCATAAGCTCTCTACGACAAGTAGTTTTAGAGTAGAGAGCTTGTATAAGGTTAATGTACTTCTTTGGTACACCTCACGATCCAGTGAGTCAAATGCCGCCTTTAAGTCCAGGAACACGACTATTGTAGGACGCCTAAATGTATGTCTGTGTTCCAGGACTTGTCTGAGTGTGAAGATGTGGTCTATGCATCCACGTACAGGATGAAAACTAGACATATTTTCTCTAGTCTGCTCTTCACAAGCTATATTTAGGCGTCTAAGTATTAATGAGGCCAATATTTTAGATATTTCACAAGAAGACTCTTGTACTTTCTTATAAATTGGGACAATCAGGGATTCAGACCAGTCGGATGGGATTGTGTCCAGTTCCTAGATTCTACCTAAGATTTCGGTCATTCTAGCCATGAGTATATACAGTTACTGTCACGAATTTACTGAGCATTCCGCCTTCAGCTCTTCTGAAGTCAACGCCTGTCCGAAGCCCAGAATAAAAGAGAAGGCTTGGATATGTGTGGTTAACGACCTCGGAAAACTCGGATTTCGCAAATCAATAGTCCAAGATTCTGACGTGAACCTAATGTGTTGACTGTATCTTTTAACGTTGCTCTATGGCATCATGATTCCGACCTTTGATTGAGTTAAAAACGTTTAGCGTCGTTTGATCTCCCCTTTAAGGCAATCACCTAGTGTTGTCAGTTTGTGCGTCAAGTCAACAGTTGTTACCCGACACATTGTGGCACCACACACACATACACACATATAGACACACATACAAAGTATCAAAATAACTAATGAATTAATTACTTACTTCAAAATGTGCTAAAATATCATTCGACTGATTAATATCCATTAAAATAATGTGTAAAATTGATCGTGCCAAATGTGGTGATGATGATGATGATGTATCGTTTAAATCATTTAAAATGAACATTGAATCAGATAATTCTTTAATATTGAATTGATACTCTTCACTGATATGATGAATTTGATCAATATGTTGATTCGTTTTATTAAGCATACTGTGATTGTTATTATTATTCATAGTAGCAGTAGTAGTAGTCGTGTTCAATGGTTCAATAATATAAGTTGCATCTGATTTAATTTGAGCTGCATGAAGTAAATGATCTAAGCATAGAGTCATACAACGATATGCATCGTATCTATCAACAATGAGAAAAATATAATAAGAATGAGCATTCACAGTTCACATACAATAGAACAGATGCAGAAAAACTATAAACTGAGATATGAATGGCGATTAGTAGTAGTAGTGTGGTGCGAGCTACTTATAAGTAGTATATGACGTGAGTGTAAACGTAATGTCTGGAAGCCAAAGATGGGGAGGGGAAGATCAAGAAAGGGAGAGTTCAAAAACAATGGAATTTGTATGAAATGTATGAATAGTGACAATGGATTGATGTTTTGCAACAGGAACAGTCCAGTTCGATATGATGAACTGTTATTTTGCAAATGAACGATTTACGATATGGTTTTCCTATTTTACTGAGTAACTCTGTAATTTTCGTTGAATACAATTCGGCTGCCCTTACCGATGTTCTCGTTCACTACAGTAGTAGTAATAGTAGTGGAACATACAGAACATTCCAGACCGTAGCTGCTACCTTGACGTGATGGTCAGACTTAACAGACCGATATCGACTGGAACACATGTTCCTGTTGGTTCTACCATTCCAGACAGGTCGATTGCAGAACGGTAAAGATAAAAGCAGCTAACTGAAGGTCTGAGGGTGAAGTTGTACTGCTGACTACCGTAGAGGGGTGTGACAGAAGTGAAGAGTTACTCGAGGACAACCAGTATCTGCAGCAATGCTGCCTTCTCATAAGGAAGGAAGGGGTTAGAAAAGGTCAACCGTAAGAATGTCACACCTCACCCTACCTCACAGATTTCCGTCTCCGGCGGTATGTTCATTTGAAGAGCAGAACTAACAATATACAATCTTCGCATAAAACGGCCGTGCGTTGATGGCCTCAAGCAGTTATTCCTTGGGCTCTGCGGTCACGCTCCCAGATCGCAAAGAACAACGCCAATATAACTTCCTTTCCAAGTTCCTCAAGAAACACCCTTCAACGTCTCTAACCATCGGTGACTTTCATCTCGCGGACCCCAACCAGGTAGCCTTCAACTACCAACATGGCTAAGTCCACTCGTCAATGACTTCATGGATTTCTGCCATGTTTTGGTTTGGCCGCCCGTAGTTTTCTTCCAATCTACTCCTACACTACAAAACAAAGCTCGTCGAGGCATTCGGTGGTTAGGCATACGTAACATATGTTCCAACCACCTCAACTGATGAAGTTTTAATACTTCCTCTGTTGATCTCCCACCCTTGCCTAGTACTCGTGTCCTAACAACTGCATTGCTTACTCGGGTGTACCATGATATACGAGCGATGCTTCTGAGACACACTGATGAGACTTCCCAGATAAATGAAGCGGTCTACACGTTCGACTACTTCACTCCTTATCACTAGTTCAGGTGCCGATGCAACCCAATCGTGAAGCAACATTTTGCATTTCGACGGGGGAGAACCGCATCCCGAATATGTTTGCACTGTTGCTTAGGGTAGTGAGAAGTCTCTAAACTTTGTCAGCGTCTTCACCAAATAGAACTATGTCATCGGCATTTTCTAAGTCAATAAGCGAGCCACCTGGTAGAAGGTCTACTCCTGAAAATTCAGACGAGGATAAGGTAATTTCTAGGATCATGTCTATGATAAAATTAAACAAGAATGGAGCGAGTAGACATCCCTGACGAACACCACTTGAAGTACAGAATTCTGGTGACAGTTCGCCCGTAACAGCACATGAGAGCAAATTGGTCGAAATCAAATCCTCCCTACACCCACGCATACCTCTCTTCTCTCCGCAACTAACTCCACTCACATTTTCTTATCTCACTCCACCGCTAATGTAAACGACAAGCTGCCACTTGGAATCCACAAAGCCAAAAAGGAAAAAAGGAAGACCAAAGAACATACTGAGACCGACAAGAGAAAGCAGACAGGGAAAAAAAATTGAACAACCATTGGATAGAACTAGAACCGAAGGCCCTAGAACATAGTAGTAGGTAGGTTAGAGAATGTTGGTCGCGTAGGCTATGCTCACCTAAACAGGTAAGCAAAAGGTACATCAATGCCCAAAATAAACGATGAACAGCTGTAGTGTGTCGATTTACTGCATGTTCTTAAGCTCGTTAATTAGCTCGTCTAGACAATCGTTACTAACTAGTGTCTGACGCTTTATAAATCAGAAGATGAACTCGAACTGTTGAATACGATTATCTGGGTGGGACACACCAGCAGAAAGAGAAGCGGAGAAACAGTGAATAGAACGAATGAAGCGACGTGAATTGGAGAAGGCTGTTGAGCCAACTCAAAGAGATAGAGCATGACTAAGAATATATATAGTCAGACAAATATACGACAGACAGACGCGTGACAAGAGAAATAGGCATGCACACACATGAATAAAAGCGATGAATAGTGTTTGTTGACAAGGTCGCGCCAAATTAAATGTAAGCAAACTGGAATATTTATTATATGTGGAGAGGCACCACTACAAACCTACAAACTAACCTGCCTTCTGTAGCTGTTAATTCTGACATAGCATAATATCGATTCAATTTACTACGATTAGGATTATAACAAGTTAATCGGTGAACGCTGACTTGTTGATTTAAACCGTAACAGACTGACTGAAGTATCATTAGTAATCTTTTACATAAAAATAAACTGACTTAAATTTGATTACTTAAAAACACTCAACGATGTCACACGACTAGCTTTCACTTGGATTACCCAAAGTCAAAGGAAAAGAGGACAGACAGACAGATACAACGCAGAACTTTGTACGTTAGTAAATCAGTTCATATTGCCATACCACATCAGCACAGTGACGCAACTGTCAGTTCAAAACCAACAGTGATAGCAATAATAGAAGTATTAGCAGTAATGGAGAAGATTAGGGAGCGAAGATATGATACGAGAAGTATAATTCAGTGAGATAATTTTAGAAAGAGAAAGATAGAGATGATGAGCAATTCAAAAGGTTAGAATTTCATAGAACACAAAGAGTAGATGCACCTGCGCCATTGCAAACAGTTTTGAGCCATGTCGTTCAAGGTCTCTAACCATTGGTGACTTTCGTCTCACGGACCCCAACCAGGTAGCCTACAATTACCGATATGGCTAAGTCCATTCGTCAATGATTTCATGGATTTGTGCCATGTTTTGGTTTGGCCGCCCCTAGCTTTATTCCAACCTATTCCTACACTACAACACAAAGCTGAACGAGGCAGTCGGTGGTTAGGCATACGCAGCACATGTCCCAACCACCTCAACTGATGGAGTTTCACCATTTCATCTATTAATCTGCCATCCCTATCTAGTACTCGTATCCTAACGGCAGCGGTGCTCACTCGGGTGTCCCAGGATAGACGAGCAATGCTTCGAAGATACCTATGATCGAAAACCAGTAACTAACGAATATCTTCTACTCTCACTAGCCATGTTTCACAGCCATAAAGTAAGACGGAGCGAACTACTACGCAGTGCACTCGTCATTTAGTCAGTAAACGGATATCTCGCCTGTGCCATAAGTGACGCAGGTTGGCAAAAGCCAACCGAGCTTTCTGTATCCGCGCTGAAATTTCGTCAGTCACCAGGCCATCAGCACTGATGAGACTCCCAAGATAAGTGAAGCGACTGAACACGCTCGACTTCTTCACTCCCTATCACTAGTGCAGGTGCCGATGCAACCCAGTCTTGAAACAACATTTTGCATTTCGAGGGGGAAAACTGCATCCCGAATATGCTTGGCTTTGTTGCTTATGGGTAGTCAGGAAGACTCTGCATTTTGTCAGCGTCATCGGCATATTCCTAAAGTCAATAAGCGAGCCTCCTGGTTATAGGTCTACTTCCTGAATATTCAGACGAGGATAATGTTATTTCTAGGCAGCATGTGTCTATGATAAAATTAAACAAGAATGGAAGATAAAGGAAAAAAAAGGAAGACCAAAGGAACATTCTGAGACTGACAAGATAAAACAGACATTGGGTAGAACCAGATTAATAAGTTCGAAAATGTTGGTCGCGTAGGCTATGCTCACCTTAAACAGGTAAGCAATAGTTACATCATTGCCCAAAATACACACAATGAACTACTAACTTAACTCATAACTAACCTGCCTTCTGTAGCTGTTAATTCTGACATAGCATAATATCGATTCAATTTACTACGATTATTAGGATTAGGATTATGACTCATTAATCGATGATCATAATCATTCATTGGTTCACTAGATGGTCGACGTCCATGTTTTAAACAATCCACAGCAATATTCAATGGATCACGTGATTGTGCAATCAATAAACATAATTTCACTGCACCACGCCATGCACCACAATTTTCTAAACGATAAACTGCATTCTCCAAGTTGATATTCGAACCAGCTTGACTATATAATGTAATAGCTTCCGAAATTAATTGATCAATATGTGTAGTATCCGTGAGATGATTATCATATTGAATAGGATTGATGAGATTATTTTCAGGTTTTAATGAAGCTAAAATATTTGTACGTATAATAGATGCCTATAGAAGAGGAAAAATAAATAAAAAAGTTGGTTAGGAAAAAAGAAACCAAAATTTTTATTATAATTTAAAGGTATATATAATAATAAGATCGTCGTCTTTTTCCGAGATAGTCTCACTTACAGTTGGATACCAAATAAAGGGGTTTTTCTTTGATGAGTCTGAATAGTTGTTGCCTACTGTTGCCTATAGCCGCTGCCTTTCCGAGCGCTCTTACCCACCACTGTTCATGATCATTACGGAGGCTTTTTATCAGCCTGTGCTTAATCTGACTCTGCTCCTCCATCATGTCCGAAGCCAGGCGGAATGAGTTTTCGAGCATCCATCAGTTCGATTGTGTACGGTTCGTCACTAGGTACGCTTGAAGCAAGTACGAGTTAAACTTAGTCTATAAACTTGAACGAGACAATGAACCAGCGTCCAGATAGGCTAACTTGAATCCTAACCTGAAGAAAAAAGGCTTTGTAAGCGTAGAAAGTATATTCTACAAACAACCAGTAATCACAGTACAATCAAGCATACAACTCTCGTTTATTTATACATCATAGAAACGTCCTTGGGGACAGTTACGAAAATAGCACACTAAAATACACAGCAGCCAATCATAGCCGTGGATTTTCCTGGTGGGAAATGAAAACTCAAGGTCAACTGACCAGCCCATGCTGGCAAAATAAGGAATTTAACAAGCGAGTTTTGGAGATCTAACATCCCCAACAGATAGATGCTACTGAAATCCATGGCTTCTCTCTAACCTTACGGTTTAACTTACTAGAAGATGTCACTGCTGTTTCCACAGCTTTTTTGATATCATTCCAAGCTGCATCAGGATAGACATCACTTACTATATGGCTGCCTAACTGTTTTTCTAGTTGTTCCTGAAATATATTCTTAGCTTTATTACCATTAAGTAGAGACCTAATAGGTTTCCTTACGATATTTTCCCTACGTCCAGTAAGAAGCAGACAAATACGCACTCGCAATAGAGCATGATATGAATCTAAACAAGTGCTCCAGAATGAGTGGCAGTTTTCTATCGAGCCCCTCCATCGATGGCTGATAGCGATGTGATCTGGTTGGATCACATCGTTAGGATGAACATTGGAGGACACCATGTACAGAGATGTTTTTTCTTATGCTTAAAGTTAGTAATTTGTTAGTATTTATCCGAATCCTTAACTGTGCCGTTTAATTGGACAGTACACAGGCGACTAACGTCTGACATCGAGTCTAAGAGAGCTACTTTTGCTTTAGCACTTAGTGCTATACCTACACCAGGAAGGCCACGGGAAGCAGAAGTGTGGCTTCTAAATACATGGTGCGTAAACTGAGATGGTTCTTTAAGTTGACAAGGTGGAGTCAAATTATTGATTTTACTCGGAAACACAGCATACATCAAAGACATGGGATTCGAAAGTCCTCGATAAGGAGGCTTGTTGTCATATCTGGCAACAGCTTCGAACATTAAAAGCTCCAACATATAGTTTAGAGAGTGATTTTAGGAGATTAGGAATTATGTTTCGTCAACTCAAAGCGTTCGCATCAGCGGTGCGAGATGGAAAAGGAATTAAAGGGTTGGTCCTGAAGACAAGAGAGTTATTAGGAGGTGTAGGAAGGATTTGATTGCTACCGACTTCGCATCATGTGTTGTTACGGGTGTGACGGTGGATGTCATTTAGCGTTTGCCCACACCGTGTTAGTGTTTCTTGAGGAACCTGAAAAGGAATTTCGATTAGTATTGATCCTAGAGAAGTGGGATTGTGACCGCAGAGCCCAAGGGATAACTGTTTCAGGCCGGTCACGTGCAGCCCTTTTATGAGAAGTATTTGAATCGTTAGCTCTGCTCTTCAAGTGAGTGGGCTTACTGCCGGAGATGGAAATCTGTGAGGTAAGGTGAAGTGTGACATTTTTAAGGTCGACCCTTTCTAACCCCCTCCTTCATTGTGTGAAGGCATCATCGCTGCAGATGCTGTCTGTCCTAGAGGAGCACGTCACTACTGTCACACCCCGCTACAAGAATCAGTAATATGACTTCGCTCTCAGACCTGGAGCTGCTGCTTTTAGTCTCACTACTATCCAATCGACCTGCAGGGTATGGTAGAACATAAAGGAACATGTGTCCCAGCCAATATAACTAACTCAGTTAGGTCATCAAGACAGGCAAACCCAACCCAACCACCATCACCACTATGATTGAGATGTAAATCACTGTGGTTCGAAATTCAAGTTTTCCCATTGCCCTCCACGGTGGATCTTCCCTATCAACCATCCAGTTGGACGTTCACTCTTCGTTCTCACCAATAGAAGGCAATGTGTAGGAGTCCTTTAGCACTGGCTATATCCACATACAAACATTTCGATAAAGAGAGATAGAGAGAGAGAGAAAACAAACTTTTCACACTCTCAGCTTTATCAAGGCGGTGCATAACAAACACATTTAGGTAGGGTTAATTAGCGTTATATATATATGCATATATATTCAATCAATTAATTTTTAACTTACTTGAATTAAACATTCACTAGCTTTAGCACACATAGCATCTTCATTAGCAAATAAACTAGGACAAATTGATTGAAGACGTGATGTAATTTTTTCCACAGTTAAATTAGCATTATTCATATTATTACTACTACTCATAAGTAGTATATGATGATCACCTTCTGCTTCGGCTTCTTCTACTTCATCTTGTAATTCTTCACTTGTCTCTATAAGATAATATTCAATTAAAGCAGTAATTAATGCACCAATCACTTCAACGCCAGTTGTATTGACATTAATCAGACTACTACTACTAATAGTAGCAGTAGTAGTATTAGTAGTAGCAGTAGCTGAAGTAACAGAAGTAGGATGAGGAGCACGAGCAGGCGTAGCAGTGGTTGCATTGATATTACTCACAGTACTAATATTCATTGAAGATGATAATGGACTTTTATTCAATCGATTATCTTCATGAAGTGAAGTTTGTCCAGTATGACTACGCATCATTATTGATCCAATGCATGGAATATTTAACAGACTTGATACATAAGCTTCAATAGTTAATTTAAGCGCTAAATTTCGATGTTCAATAGACAATCGCCTAAAATGATTAATTAACAGATAATATGGAAATTATGAAAAAGGGGATATAAAACAAACATGTTAATTAAAGCAACTATAGGCAGTCATAGCGGCGGTCAAGCTTGCTTATAGGGATGACCCAACTGCACTACATCCGCTGGGACACATGTTCTTATAGGTCCTACCATTCCAGATAGGGTCGATTGTAGAACCGCGAGGCTAAAAGCAGCAACTTCAGCTGTGAGGGCGTAGTTGTACTGCTGACTCCTGTAGAGGGGTGTGACAGTAGTGAGTAGTTCCCCTCGGATAACCAGTATCTACAAGGATGCTGCCTTTTCACAATAAAGGAACGGGTTAGAGAAAAGGTCGAGCGTGAAAATGTCACATCTCACCTCACCCCAAACCGGGAATCGACATCAATACCAAACTTGAACAGGGGCGCTTGATAGTCGATTTACATACATAAAATGAAATACAAATGTTTAATACACTTAAGAATAGTGGTGTTAACAGGATTATACCTTGACTATTGTACACACTCTGGCCAAGTTCAAATTGGAAGGCTTTAATTAGACTAATTTTCAATTAATTAACGTTAGTGAATGAATCAAGAAGCTAGAAGATACTACTACTGAACGGTTCCTATTTTTTCATTGTTCTCTAACAAATAGTGTTCTGATTTGAGCAAAGTAACATTGTCAGGAGATAGTGAACACCTGAACAACATGACAGCTACCACCTAATGAATTTCATAGTCTAAAAGGATAAATTTTTACATAAAGAAAAGATAGAATGTAACTAGTTTCTAGGGGAAAAATTCATGAACGCGCATTTCATTCTATCTGGAACTTATCGACTGGATAACCAAAATATGGCGCAAATCCATGAAGTTACTGACAACTGGACCGAGTCTTGTTGGTAAGTGTCGACTAATTGGTTAAGGCCCACAAGAGGATATTAATCGATGATTGAACATCTTGAATAACTTGGACCAAAACCGTTTACAATGGTACAGGTGCATTCATTCTTTGTGTTCTCTCAGATTCAAATCTTCCGAATAGCTAATAACATTTCTTATCTTTTGAAGTTTATATCACTAGATTCTATTTCTTGAGTAGTATCTTCAAACCCTAATCTTCCCAATTACTGGTTATATCTTTACTACTTCTACAACTATGGGATTTGAATCGACAATTGCATCTCTGTGATAATGCGGTACGGCAACCTGAACTGATGTACTTACATACGAAGTTCTACGTTGTAACTGACTGACTGATGTCAACTGGATGGATGTACCTGTGCCGCTTAGAGTTATCAACCAAAAACTGATCAGATTTCAATTGAAAATAAATCAAATCTTATATAACGGTTGGACAAGCGTAAGTGACTACCTAGGACGATGACGTTTGTAACAAACACTGTACGGTTTGAGTTTTAGAGCGAACGAGCAACAACACTGAGATGCGAATACATTCTGTAGAAGAGAGGGTGCATCAAATAGGACGAATTGTGTGATCAAGATTCCACTTCTAGTTACATTCTATCGATTCAATGTGAAAACCTGTGGCATATAGACAGAGACAAAGGGCATAGGATCATCCCCCCACGATACACAAATCACAACTGATCAAGTTTCCGTCAGTCAGTAGATCAGTCAACAACAACAACAACATAAAACTTCGTACGTACGTTCGTACATCAGTTCAGGTTGCACATTCTACGATAGCACAGAGATGCAATTGTCAATTCGTATCCCATAGTAATAGATGTGGTAGAAGTGTGAGCAGTAATCGAAGAGATTAGAGTTCGAAGATATTATTCAAGTAGTATAATTCCGTGAGCTAAATTTAGAAGGAGAAAGATAGAGATTATGAGGAATTCAGAAGGTTAGAATTAAAAAGCACACAAAGAGTGGATGCACCTGCACCACTGCAAACGATTTTGAGCCATGTCGTTCAAGGTCTCTAACCATCGGTGACTTTCGTCTCGCGGACCCCAACCAAGTAGCCTACAACTACCAACATGACTTAGTCCACTTGTTTAACAATAAACTGCCATTCGACTGTCTTTTCAAAATTTCCTGTTAGGGGAATTTTTCGAACTACAAGTTGACGTTAACAAATAAACGACTATTGAAAAAACTAAGGGGAAGCACCCACCAAACAGCTATTTTGTTCTCCTTTGGAACACCTTAGCAGTTTCTACATTAAAACCCAACATGAACAAAAATCGTCATTCAGAGTTCCCAACCATCGGTTACTATCATCTCACGAACCCCAACCAGGTAGTCAACAGGTACAAACATAACTCAGTCTAGTTATCAGTGACTTCATGGATTTGTGCCATAATATGGTT